ATCTATCTATCTATCTATCTATCTATCTATCTATCTATCTATCTATCACCTTTTACAATAATTGAAAAAAATCAAAGGAAGATTTGCTTTTGCATATGTGTGTCTATGTTGTGTATGTGTGTATGCATATTTGCATGTGTAAAAATGCTCATGTGTGTATGCACACACATATGTAGAGGCTAGAGGTTAGAATTAGGTCAATGGGCATTTTTCCCACATCGGAGACTTTCACCGACCCCTGAGCTTACTAGTGTAGCTACCCTAGGGGCTCCTTGTCTCTGCCTCCCAAGTGCTGGGATTATAAGAAGGTGAGTATGCTAGCCTGGCTTTTTTTTTTTTAATTTGGATGATGGGATTTGAACTCTCGTCCTTGTGCTTGTATGGCATACACTTTATCCACTGAGCTATCTCCCATGACTCAAAGGAAGATTTTGCAATTCATATGTAATTACAACGTGTCCTAAGGTAAGAGGCTAATTCAAGTAGAGCGTGAGCAATGCCCACTGTCGGGTCCCCTATTCTGAGTTTGTTACATATCCTAATCTATAAAGAATTGGTGAATATGTCTTCTTCCTCCATTTCAGCCTTTGCGAGGGTTAGTGACTCCTCCCCCTTGTTCACATTCTTAAGGCCTCTGTCTTGATGCTTCATCAACGCTGGTTAGGGGCTGGGTTGTCAGCAGGAAGGTAGCCACACTGTGCTGAGATCCAGCCCCAAACTTTCTTTGTTGCTTCTTTATTTTTTTTTATTTTTTATTTTTTGATACAGTGCAGAGAACCATGGAATTGCCTGGTCTAGCTGCTTTGAGAGGCCATAGTCACTGGTTTCTTCGGGCTAGAGTCTGGCTCCTGGGGCGCTTTTCAGTTCCTGAGAAACTCAGGCAGTGAGAGCATTCAGACCACGTGTGTTTCTCTGTGTTCCCTAGAAGTCAACAAAGCATATAGAAGCGCGACAGAACAATTAGTCTTAGACATTAATCTCGTATTCCCTGTATAGTTTGCAAACGTCATTGTGTCCTGGCAACTGCAATTGTATTCTGTTTCTGATAAGGGTATAAAAAGCCTGGTTACTTGCAATAAACTGTCACAGGCTCAGTCTTGCTGTGGCACCTCCGTTCAGGCCTGGTTTGCATGCCCACTGACAATAACCAGGTAACCCTGTCTCAGTAAGTAAGTGCGGGCACTTACACTACAGGGTCTCTTGTGTCCTAGGTTGGCCTTGAACTAACTGTGCAGTTAAGGGCGGCCTTGAATTCCTGACCACCCTGCCCCTGCCTCTCCAGTGTGTGGACATAGGCATGCATTGTTTACTCTTTGGTTGCTGAGATAAACACTGTCCAAAGCAACTTTGGGAGGAAAGTGTTTATTTTAGGTTACAGGTCACAGGCCAACATCCTGGGATGACAAGGCAGGGACTCAGGGCAGGAGTCTGGAGGTGGAAACTGAGGCAGAAACCACAGAGCAGTGGTTCTTCCTAGTGCTGCAGCCCTTTAACACAGTTCCTCACGTTGAACCCCCAACCATAAAATTATTTTTGTTGCTAACTCATAACTGTAATTTTGCTACTGATATGAATGGTAATATAAATACCTGAGTTTTCCAATGGTCTCAGGTGACCCCTATGAAAGGGTTGTTTGACCCCTTGAAGGGATCACAACCCACAGGTTGGGAACTGCTGCCATAGAGGGATGTTGCTGGATGACTGGATTGGCTCCTCTTGCCTGCTCAGCTTGCTTTCTTATACAACTCAGGCCAGCATGGTTAGGGATAGCACCACCCACAGTAGCTGAATCCCTCTGTGTCAACTAGCAATAAAGAGAATGCCTCATAGAATCGCATGCTGGTCAACCCGATGGAGGCAATTTCTCAATTACCCGTCCTTCTTTCCTGGGGTGCCAAATTGCTAGCCAAGATTAGTTATTGCAAGGTGAGCTGTTGTGCCTGGTGTAAGTGTCAATCCCAGGGCTCTGCCTGGGCTAGGGAAACCCTGTATCATTTGAGCTGCATCTCCAGCCCCGTGAAACTCCCTCTTTCCAAAGATCAGTGTGTGAACAGGCTACTGAGGGGAGGCAGGATAAGTGTAGCACATTTAATAAAAACCCAGAGACAGATATTGGGGTTCAACCTGAAGGTCAGGAAAGCAAAATAGTCACTGGCTCTTACCTCCACCTCAGTCTGAAATGGTGATCCTGCTTTCAGGAATCTCAGAATGAGATGGTGTCTGAGAGTTGTCTCCTCCTGTTTTATAATCTTCTCTAGGGCTGGGATTAAAGGCGTGGACCACTACCACCTGGTTTCTACGTCAAACTAGTGTGGCTACTGGGATTAAAGATGTGCGGCACCACTGCCTGAACTGTAAGGCTGATCAGTGCTGTTGTTTTACTCTCTGATTTTCAGGCAAGCTTTATTTATTAAAATATAAATGAAATGTCACTACAGTACACTAGTAGCAAGGCTTAAGAAGACAGAAATTCAAATCCCTGGAAGTAAACTGTCGCTCTTGCTCCTCCTCTTTGTCCTTTCCCCCTTCCTTCCCTTGCACCACCCCTGCACCCCACTTCCTGTCAAGAGGAAGAGTCCAGGGCTTCTAATCCTGGGTCCTGGAGGCAGTTCCCCATGAGGGCACCCGGAGTCGCTGCTGTGTGTGCTTTCTGCAATGCTGTCTGCTGCTGGTAGCTCCTGGTGGTCAAGCTCAGCACACGCAAAACACCATCGCCTGAAAAACAGACCTTAATTAGAAAATGCAGATTAAAGATGGGCAGTGTGCCGTTTAAATCAGCACAGAGTAAATTACAAGAATGAGAGCCAGGGCGGCTCAAGCCATTTGAAACACTTCAGGCCATAGCTGCCATATGCCGCGCCTACATTTGGAGACTGTGTGGCACGGCTTGGTGAGGAACTAGCCTTGCTAACTGATTTTTTGACTTGTGACTCATCCGTTATAAAGTGGAACAAATATATTGGCTGTAACAGTAGGTGAGGGCAGGAGCTGGCAAACCTCCCCATAGCACAGACAGAACTAAACCAATGAGGGGTATCCTGACTACAGCTGTCTTTCTGTAATGTCCAGGGCTGTCTTCAGGGCTGAGTCCAGGTCCTGCAGTGCCCAGACTGTCTTCAGAGTGAGCACAAGAGGCTGGAGTAAGAGAGGTACATAGAAAAAGAAAGTTTCAGGCACAGCAGGAAAGAGAGGCGCACAGAAGGGTCCCTTGGCACAAGCGAGACTATGGAGGTGACAGGAATGGGGGAAAGTGACTCAGAAAGAGCTTGCTTTAATAAACAAATACTGTTTTTGCAAAGGGGAGTAGGCAGGAGAAGACTGTTTGGGGGTCCATTAATAATATTGATAATGTAGAGCAACTGAGGGTGTTCCCCCATTCACAGCTAAGATGTACCAACAGACCACTGTTACGATCCCTGAGAGAACTTGGCTGCCACCATCACCCTAAAGAAAGTCTTCCATAAAAAATACTTAGCCACTGAATTGAACAAAACAAACAAAAGAGCCCCGTTGCCCAAGTACCTTGAGTTTGAATAGGTAGGGAAAGCGAAACAGTTTTTATGGAAATAGTCTTTGTGGTTCAGAGCCTGCAATCAAAGAGACAAAGACAGTTCAGTGAATAGCGCATTAGGCATAATGATTAAAATTCCAAGTATTATCCTCAGTAACCCACGCTGCATGTCAGAGAAGCCATCATTAGAAAGCATGCAGAAGAAGAGGCACCCCCAAAGAATACTGAACCCGAGTGGGTCTTAGATCCAGTAGCCCTCTGCCCAGGGATGAAGAGTAGAGGTAATGCTTGGGGGAGGAACCCTAAGCAGGCTTTGCAATGTGACCATCATGTGTGATTTCAGTGTATCTGGTCCCGTGTGAGATGCTATGGTCACACGGTCTCACACCCTCCCTAGGGAAGTTGCCACACACTCCTGATCAAG